TACGCTCAATAAAGTATCTCCTACGGAGGCTACTCCCCGTCCTAGATGCATATGACATATACACATGAAACAATCAACAATCATAATCCATTCCATACAAGAACATGTCATTCAAGATGAAAATTTCTATCATGTCATGTCATGATATGAGGTGATACTCACTCATGCATCTTAACCCGAGTCATCACCGACTTCCATAACACAATGCAATTGATGTGTGTAATTCATTTGTCATTGATGAAATACATCCAATGATTTCTTGAAATAAATTCATATTTTTATAAACCGAAACATTGTTGGATGTTTCTTATCGAATGAATACTTTATAAAACAAAATCATGTGTCTTTATTGTGTATTAGATTTTGGAGTCACACCGCTGGCTCTATACGCCATTACATTTTTTTGGAATTGCACCACAGGGAAATGTATGAACCAAATAGCTGGGTTTTTCACCCGAGGGAGAATTTATCCCTTCTTACTATACCCGACATAAGTTTTTCATGCAATCATGTGACTTAACGGGATCTTCGATCCAATCTTCCCGAGTCCACTTATCAACCACCAAGTATAGTGATCGATTAAACCATGCAACTACACACCCACACTCATGCCTAATGACCATGAATATGATGCCAAAGTCATGCCCAACGTGTAATGAATGTGAAATGAGAAATTTTAATATTTATATCATACTCATATGTAATGAATGTCACATGGATTATTTCTATCACATTCCAACACTTATATTTTCAATTGTGAATCACATCATAAGTGTATGATTTCAATTTACCATAACATCCAAGCATGTTATTTCAAGCTCATCAAAATATCACTTCAATCATTCAAGGCATATGTTTTTGTAAAAGCATAACATGCCCACTTTTCATCACATAACACAAGAATCACCATAGATAATCTCTACATATCTAATTCAAAATAGAATGTATTTTTTTCATTTCTATACTTATTCCCTCATTTTCATAACGATAGGCAAGTCTATACACCTAACCACTCCCTATGGACACCATAGGATGAAAATAAAGCAAAATAGAAGGGAACCCTATCTCTTGAAGCGTAAAATGATGTGTAGAACCTTCAAGAACACAATACCACTCCAAAATTTTGATTTTTCTAAAATCTCCTCTTTGGATCTTTGATGAAATCTTTTATTTTTGGTACATAGACGTAGCCCTCGTCGCAGTGATCGACTTTAATTCTTGGTCCGAGTGATTTCGACCAACGAAACTCCATGAATCGAAAAGAGAAAGGTAGAAATTTATGTTTTTATTCTTCTCATTCTTCCAACGTGTGAACTAGCTGATATTGGGAGGAGAAATATCTGATTAATATCTGAAAATCAGATATTTCACCTCTATTTATACTCTTAAATTGTGCGGTCCACATCGCGCCGCGCGTTTCCTATTTTTGGGTCCATTTTCAGCCCAAAAGGATTAATTTCATTTCGGTTTAAGTTCAAAATAATTTTATTTGAATTTTTTTTCAATTATAAGGAAATTTTATAATTTTTATTTTTGGGGACGTTTGTGAGGTCATCCGACATTTAGTTGTTTCGAAAAATGTGAAAAATTCGATTATCTCAAAATTTGATAAAAATTGACTGAAAAACTCAATTTCGCGATACGAATACAACAGTGAGGTCTGTTGCATCATTCGAGCTTTATAGAAATACATATTTTAATTCCGCATTATAGTGATAAATTACCGTTTTGCCCTTTTTCGGAAAAATTTCAAATTTATCCGGGTTTTACAATGTAAGTGTATTGTTACAATGTTATGATGTTCGCATATTAAAAAACAGAATAATCACCTTTAAAATGACAGACATAAACCTAATGGAGTCATAAATTCAAACATTATAATTGCTTAGATTAAATGATAATGATGAAATAATATTTTTAGACTTGCACTGATAAATGACTTTCAAGTCATAGAAGAAGAAGATAACAAAAGATATTGTTACAAAATTTAAAATTCAAACCAATCGATTTATCCTCAAAATAAGCAGAAAAATCAAATAATCAAATCTTCCATTAAATTAGAAAATTTTTAACGCATACATTTATCCTAAAAAATATTGAACGATCAAATATTCCATTAAATTTGGAGATTTTAATGCATACATATAATCTAAAAAAAAAATCAATTTCTAAAAATAAATCGCATGAATTAAGGGAGGACACAAATGTTAAAGAAAAATTTAAAAATTTCAAATTATATACTTGGACACAAATAAAAACTAAAATTAAAGACTTTTTTTTTTACATTTTTTTCTATTTACTTTTTAAAAATTAACTCCAATTTGATGTACCCCTTCTAATTTACCGCATAATTTATGACCTCATTAGGCCATGACCTTCATTTGAAGCTTTATAGTTTATCATCTCTTTAAGTTAAAGCATATTATTTTAAAATTAAATTGATTCCAAAATATTAAGGTCGAGTTTGCGCCTCAAAAGGTCTTAATTCTTGTAGTGATTTTATTGTGACTTGACCCAAATAAAAAAACTCATTATAAAACCAAAATACTTAATAAATTTTGGTTTGATACAAAATATTTTTTTGGTATCGGTATTTTATTTTTGAGAGATATCTCCATAGACAAAATATGTTACTGATATAAAAATAAATAGTTAATCAGGTCAAACAAGTGGCGCGACATAAATAAGTAAGCATGGGTTTGACTTTTCATTAAACACATAAAAATCGAGTTTAACCGACACTCGATATTGCTTGTGTACATTCGATATTCACATCAATTTAGATTGTGGTCTGCTAAAAAAAAAAAGAGCAAAGAAAAGGAAATAAAAAAAAATGTCATATATGATTGTACTTCATGTTAAAGTGTGTAAGTTTCTATTTCATGCTGACTTGGATTGGTGGACTTGGGGATTGAAACTCCATTAGAAATTTTCTAATATGGGTGACCTACGAGTACAAACAAATAAAAGAAAACCGGTCATATTGTGCTGCCACAAAAATCAAAATCAACAACTACCTACCCCCACCAATCTCCCACCAGAATTGAATAGAAAAATTCGCAGATAAAAGATAATTAATGAAGGGACCATATAGAAGTGATAAACAGCCTAACTTTTCTGCCGGGGAAAGGTGGTGGATGGTGAGAATTTGGCACAAAGTGCAAGTGACACGGTCATAGAGGAATATAAAATAGGAGGCAAAATAAAAGAACAAAAAAATAGTTTAATCTACACGATTATATAATTTACAAAGAATTAGATATTCACAATCTTGATTTCTTTTTCGTAATTCGAACCTGTGATACATAGCTCACAATAAAATGGGTTTTTTTTTTTGAGCGAACATTTTTTTTTTTATTTGTTCAACGGTCAAGAATGTCTGGAACACCTTACGTGCATCTATCTCGATTAATTTCCTTCTTAATCCGGTTAAAGGTTGACCATCTACGTTGGGACTAAGATATTCATGAGGAATAAATCTCTTATGGTCTGATTCCAAGATATTGTCAAAATTCAAATTCAAGACGTTTAGGTGCAAAATATAAGACTGTTACTTTTACAATAACAAGCAAAAAGAGGACAGAAACTGCACCAATTCAACGTACAACCTTGATCTAAATGGATTTGTAAAGCTTGACTGACTTCAATTAGTTGAACTTAAACAAGCTTCAAATTAAACTCCTTCAACTCTGTTGCGTGTTGGTTTGGCCACTCCAGTGGCCATAGCTATGCCTTATCAACTCATCAAACTACTAAATTTTCAGCTCTAATTCCCATATTTGTTTCTTATATGCTTGTTAACCTCGGAGTAATTTCATAGGACTAATTTTAGATGGTATGAAAATTCAATTGTACAACATGCCTCGAACATCTTATTAGCCAATTTAGACAACAAAATTTCTAATTATTCAATTGTATGACATGCCTCGAACATTTTATTAGCCAATTTAGACTGAACAAAATTTCTAATTAGGTTGATAATTAATCTTGAATTTGGTTGTTGGAAACACCATGAAAATCTTCTGAATGTACTGAGCCAAGTTGCTAATATCTACAATGCTTTGGGTGCTTGAAATAAGAGCCTTAGGATGTGTGTGTGTGTGTGTGTGTGTGTGTGAGAGAGAGAGAGAGAGACTCAAAGTTGGTCAAGGTGTATGGTAGTAGGTGACAAGAATGAAGTTGTGACTTGCAGATTTATGTACTGATTTGTATACTTTTTTGATTGTTATTTACAATAGCTATCAATCCCATGGGGCAACCATCTTATCCCAAAAGGTTTTTTTTTTTAGAACAGAATCATTTAGAGCAATAGATTAGTCCAGAAAGCCTAAAAAATTACACCCACTCATGCACTTCTTTAATCCCAATTAATTTCTTGGTTTTTGTGCTAATCATGGAGTCTTTCAAAAAGATGTTCCAAAGATAATACCCTGGTATTAAATCCACTTTTTAACCCGAGAAAAAAAAAGGAGAAATTATGAGGTGATTTGTGCCGAGGAAAACATTTTTACCGGCGCAATGCTATTGGGATCTAATTTACTGACTTAATTCACTATGATCTTTAGATTGACTATGGACTCCATCAAACATTGGAACTTAATGTTAATCCAATGGTTCCAATGAAACACGTCATTAGGTCAACAAATTATGTCAAATTTTTAAGTTCAAATAGCATTTTTCTTTTTAGTGATATGCCACCAATCCCGAAATTGATATACTTTTCTTCACTACTATGCTTCAAATAATGCAACCCTCACAGCAGTGGTAGGTAGGAATTTTCATCCCTAAGAAAATCTTAATAAGGAAAGGATCGCGAAGATGCCATGTGAATCAAACTCTACCCTTTATTTTGTACCACAAACTCCGGATATGAAAACCGACTAAAACCCCTATATAAAGAGCTGGTGTATGGAGCAAAGTCACTACATAAGTGGTACAAGCAAATTCCATTGTGTTTGAATTGTCCCCTTTCTCTTCTTCTTACTCACCAAGAATAGACAATGAAGAATTCAAGAAGTTCCATTGCTCTTCTTCTCTTTTTCATGTTTCTCTCCATGTCATTTGCTTATCCAGCCAAGAAGAAACAGTACAAACCATGTAAACAGTTGGTCCTTTTCTTCCATGATGTTGTTTACAATGGTCACAATGCTGCCAATGCTACTTCTTCCATGGTAGCTGCCCGGGACGGGGTAAACTTAACCAACTTAGGTGACCAATTCCATTTTGGAAGCATGGTGATCTTCGATGATCCGATCACTCTTGACAATAATTTCCACTCAACCCCTGTTGGACGAGCTCAGGGCATGTACTTCTACGACACAAAAAACACTTACACTGCGTGGTTAGGATTTTCGTTTGTTTTTAACTCCACGGACCACCAAGGAAGCATAAACTTCATAGGGGCTGATCCACTGATGAATAAGACTAGGGATATTTCTGTGGTGGGTGGCACTGGTGATTTTTTCATGCACCGGGGAATCGCGACTCTAATGACTGATTCATTTGAAGGCGAAGTGTATTTCAGGCTCCGTGTTGATATCAAGTTTTATGAATGTTGGTAAAGTTGAAGATGCAAGTTTTTGTGAGTTTTTAGAGTGTTACACAAGCTTGTGTGTTTTGTATTATGCCAAGGGAGTAAATTTCAGGAATATAGCTTGCATGATTGAAGTGAATAAACATTGAAGAATTGGAAGTTTTTGGCAATTTATCTATTAAATTTTGCAGTTTTACTGAAAATTACATGTATTTTCGTTGAAGCTAGACCTGAAGTGACACAGGCTAAAACTAAAATCTGAACTTTTCCTTTCCTTTCACTTTCACTGTCCATTTAGTGTAACAACTCATGAAGAATTGTTAAATTTAATATGTTTGTTACAAATAATTTAATGATGGGTTGAATATCATTTTGATTCGATCGCCTTGATACCGTTGGAGTGGCACAAAGTTGTTACCCTTAAAAGAGGAATTGGTAGGATATGATCCAAATCTCCATCAATTCCCTTATTCAGCTGTTGTCCTAGCACTCTATGGTTAATTTCAACTATTCCACTCTTAGCTTATTGTCAAGTTCTATGGGCTTGACTCATGGGCACTACAATGACCAATTGGAGAGAGAGAGAGAGAGAGAGAGAGAGAGAGAGAGAGAGAGAGAGAGGTAGGAGTCCAAGGGTGGTCCCACTATCAAAGTTTTTGGATTGAAAAAGCACATGCACATGGAATTTGAACCAAAGTCTTTACCGTATAGTGATCAATTTCATGATTGCTTGTAGAATATATTTCAAATTTGAGCAAGCTGTGTCGGACCCCCGGGGCCGGCCCAGCAGTATCGGAAAAAAAAAATGGGATTTAGGCTCCAAAGTTTTAGAAGATTCCATGATTTTAGATATATTACTAATCAACAAAAAAAAATTAAATCTATTAAATTTTAATTTTTTCTAAAAATTAAATTCAATCAAAATTTTTATTGCTATAATTTAGGTTTATAATTCAATCTATAACATTAAAAACTTAAAAATTTTAAAAATTAAAAAAAATACTCAAAAATCAACTCATATTTATTCTCACCTACTTTTTTTCTCTCTCCCGTAAAAAAAAAAAGTTAAAATCTATTTTTCGACAATATTAACACATCTTTTTTTTGTTTCCCTTCACATAGCAAATTAAAAATAAATTAATTTTGTTAAAAAAAATAATATTAAAAATAAAAAAAACCTTTATTTAGTATTTCTACTTTAAGTCTTAAATTGGTTTAAGCCGCCCTGCTACCCGGTACCATAAAGATGCAAACTTGGCCACATTACATTCCTCTAAGATGATAAGATATTTATACATTATATACAAGTGGGTGAAATGTAATGATGACTAAACGATTTTGAGTAAAATTTGTGCATCTTCGTTTTGTATAGATGAGTGCATTTTTTTAGTGTAGCTACTTAGTAGAGATAATTATAAGTATATGTATTTTATACTATGATTTTCTTGGATTTTTCAGCCTATGGGTTTTTTTCTACGCAACTTTTCAAATTTAATAGTGATTAGTTATTGACTTCTGACCAAAAGAATGAGCTGGAATTGCACTGTCAGTCAATTTTGCTGCATATATTTTATTTTAAGGTGGAGGTTATACTAAGAATAATCATAATAATATAAGAGCTTTTTGACTAAGCTTCTTTTAGTTTTAAATGAGCCTTTAATCACATTGGAGCCAATAATTTCAACAGTTAAAATTAAAGTAATCTAGTAGGTTTATGGAATTGTACAGCAGGAGACCTCTTTTCTTCATGGTTTATGGGAAGGGGGACTTTGATAAGTAAAGTATTGACAATTTGGCTTGGTGTTGGATGTTAAGATCATATGCAACTGAAGATGATAATTGAAAGTATAACTGGAGTGGTTGGCACCTACTCTTACCTATGTAGTGACCTCTTACGTCGCTTAATCTAGACCTCTAGGTAGGGAAGTAAGGGGCTAGTCACCCGGATTGAGAAGTTGGTCATTTGGACTAGATCTGGGTGGTTAGTCCCTAATCCCGTAAATATGTCTTGTGAGGCGAATTGCCAGTTCTTAATACCTAAAGCAAACACACCCTTTGAGTATTGATAGGTGGACATGCAAGCTCAGCATTGCAGCTTGTTTGACAAAAAAGATATAAGTGGTAAGGCATAAGCTTAAAAGTGTTTATCTTCACACCCATTTGCATCCAAGAGAGGTTATCAATTTCCCCTGGCTTTGGTACCTAATTAACTCTTTGGTGGCTCATTTTTGCCACAATCATTTACACAAAAAGGGACTTCAAGGTTTAGTGAAACCAGTATAGAACAGATTGCAAGATGTCACATTCCAATCAAACGCAAAAAACGAGAAATAATTGAAGTAGTGGAATACGAAAGGGAGCCTGTGGTGTGGTTATCCGGGACTATAAAGGAGGACTACCGAAGGGAGAAGCAAGAACCTTCACGGAAGCTGTAACAGTGAGAGGAGGGCTTCAACGCTGCCATAATTGAATCTTACTCACAGGGTCCTCATAGATTGGATAACCAAGGGTCTAGAATGGATGCAAAGGGAGATAGAACCCATAGTAAGAGACATGTAGCAAAATGCATCCTAGATACCTATGGTTCGAGTTGAGAAAATTAATAGAGCAGCCAACATGGTTGCACACACAGTGGCAACTAAAGCGCGAGAAGGGACCCTACCTTCTCTGTGGCTTACTGATTCACTTCCACTACTGAGAGTGCTCATGGAGAGGGAGGCTAGAGTGGGTGTTGGTTAAGTTCTAAGTTTTTATGTAATCAAGCTCTCTAAGCATTAGTGGTATTAATGAAAGTTGTTACTTCTTGACCGAAAAAAAAAAAAAAAGATGAAAAATCGATGCTTAATAACTCCTTAAAAATAGATCTAATCGATTGTGAAATTCTCTATTGATCGAAGACCTGTACAGATAAGCTAACCCTCTATAGTGGTGGAGTATCATTCAGTTGTTAGAAACATATGGTCCCAAAAGCCCAAATGCAGCCAATAATTATGCTAGTCTTAGACTTGAAGCTAACAAAAAGAAGCAGTTGGATAGAAAATTGGTTTAGTGTTTCCCAAAGTCATGAAGCATGATGCCTTGAAATCTAAGCTTTAGCAACTATTTTTTGAATTGAAAAGACTTGATGGTTTCAACCTTCCACACTCAAACAAGCATTCTCTTGTTTTCTGAGAGCTAAAGATTACCAGTTTGAGCTCTTTACTCTTCTTCGACCTTCTCTTTCAACCTATGGGGAAAATTCACAGGACATACCTTTCCAATGTCAATTCGATATTTCAGCATTGTGCCTTAACACTAAGGGGAAGAAAAAAATTTTTTTTTGGGGGGGGGGGGGGGGGGGGTGTTGGCTCTCCAGAATCGGGGTTTCCTCCTATGTAAAGTGGTTGTGCTATAAGACCAACCTGCAGATCTATGTCTGTTCCATAATCAAGTTGAGTTGGTGAGAAATAGACTTCCATCATTTCCAATTGACAAATTGCATTACTCCAAACAAGCTGGTGACCTGATACAATAATCAAAAATAGATTCCCTGCTGATCTGATCTGGTTGGCAGCTAACCCCACTTCTGCCTTAAAAAGCTTCTACTTCCAAGGGAAAAAAGTTATAAAATGCTGACTAAGTTTTTACATTTGTTCCAAATTACCCATCTTATAAGGACCCCTAGAATCCATTAGAGCCAATCTGATAATGCTTGATGGTAGCAGAATGATTATAACCAGAGTGGTTTTCTGGCTAGTAATGAGAAATAGTTGAACTACTCTGCTCATCTAAACCAAAGTGTGGTGTTGGATTGCTGAAACCTGGCAAGCCTAGCTAGGATGCTGTAGGTTAAGAGAGAAGTTGTTAACTATGCTGCCTGTTTATTTGCACAACCATCTGAACACATGAAAGGTCACTACCCTACTCTAATCGATTAGTTTCAGCAAACACTTATTACTGGTCACTATTTTCACAGACACAAAGAGGCCCCACTCTTGCTTGAAACCAATATCGAATAAGTAGTTTTAACCGAAAAATGGTGATATCCGAGTTGAGTTCTTTTGAACGGAAGAGTTATGGAATTAGTTGGGCGTGAGAGAGATAAAAAACCGAACTTTAGTTGGCAAAGCTTGTGAGAATGTCTAATATTTCTAATTTGCAGTGATCATAGGGAATACTACGGTAAAGCGTAAACCTCTTTAGGTTTGGATCTGAGTGAATGAAAATGAAATGGAATGTTAATTTGTCAATGAAAATCGGAACTTAGCCATCATTAGCCTAAAGTTACAGGACACGAGGGACCTGGAAAGTTGGAGCAAGTATACCCTTATTTTCTTTTGGCCATTTCACCCAATGTCCCCTTTGTACCTTAGTCATTTTTTGACTGTTAAGGGGTCTCTCAGTGAATGGAAAAACAGTCGAGGAATGGAAAAGCACAAGCTTGTAAAACTGACTTCATTACTTTGTTAATCTCAGAGATGAAACCCATGTCCATTGATCAACAATAGAGATATGGATTTTCCAGTAATAACTATAGATAATATCATCCAATTCAAAGAACCGGTGGACACCATTATCCAAATGCACCCAATCATTTTGTCAATCTTAGACTTGAAGCTAACAGAAGGTAACAGTGCCATGGAACATGGTTTAGTTGCTTTCAAAGTCATCATAAAATGCCTTAAAAGCCAAGTTTTGGGAAACTAGTTTACCATTTAGATACACTTGGAAAGCCGTTATATAAGAGATTGGTTCTTGCCACCCTCCACACTGAAGTAAGCATTCACAATTTCACTTCTTGCATTCTCCCACACCCTTACCAATGGCTGTCAAAATCTCGATTTCAGCTCTCTTCTTTTTCTGCCTCCTCCTCAGATCCTCTGCTACGCCTAGAAGGCACATCAGGGCTCACCACCCCTGCAAAAAAATGGTGTTTTACTTTCACGACATCATTTACAATGGCAAGAACTCCAAGAATGCAACTGCTGCAATAGTAGGAGCACCGGCTTGGGGCAACAAGACCATATTGGCCACACAAAACCATTTTGGCAATTTAGTTGTCTTTGATGACCCAATCACTTTAGATAACAATCTACACTCTACCCCAGTAGGCCGTGCCCAGGGCTTCTATATTTATGACAAGAAAGATGTATTCACTGCTTGGCTCGGGTTCTCCTTTGTTTTCAATTCCACTGAGCATAAGGGTAGTATTAACTTTGCTGGAGCTGACCCACTGATGAACAAGACTAGGGACATTTCAGTGACTGGTGGAACTGGAGACTTTTTCATGGCTAGAGGGGTGGCAACTTTGATGACTGATTCATTTGAGGGAGAAGTATACTTCCGGCTTCGCGTTGATATTAAGTTATATGAGTGTTGGTAACAAAGTTTAAGTTTTGGCTTATTTTGTTGTGCCTTCATGTTTTCTTTTCAAAGGTCAGAAAAAAGTTCTATCTTCTCGAGGGATTCTGTTCATAATGGCCTTCTTACTTTTGGCCTATACTGCAATTTTGTTCTAAATTCTCTGCCACTACTTGTATTGGCAGCCACTGGCAACAACTACCCAGTGGTTTTGCCTTCTGGTTAATTTCTGCACCAATCTGCCTACTAAGCTTTGAGTTTTTCATTTTTGAATTTCTCACTCTTTATTCTAGTCACTCTCTTCCTGATCACAAAAAAAAAATTGTAGTCACTCTCTTAAATATCAATACTTGAACCATTCAAAATCAAATTCGTCACGAAAATCTGTTAACAGTCTCTTGATCAAACAATCCAGTGAAGACAATCCAGGGAAAAGAAAAAGATGTTTACTACCAAGGCCAGTGTATCTGATGTAAATACTGAGTGGAAACTAGAGACTCCTTCATGGGTACTTCGGGTTCATCATTCTAAATGATTGATGGATTTCCATAGTGAGACTTTATGGTTTTTGTTAAATATGCCTAAGGATAATGGGGAGTAACTTGGCCAACATCCTGGTTTATCACATTACATTCTATTGGAATTATTTCATATTACCCCAAACATATGTCTCGATTATCTCTTTTGATAGAAATTGTCAACGCGTCAGGATAAGTGAAAAAATCACATAGTTCGAGAGGTAAAATGAAATATTTTTTTATTATTAAATTTATAACAGACGTTAATAATTGGTATAATAATATGAATCTATTAATTAAATAATTGATGGTACAATGTAAAAAGTATAATTATTGAGGGGGTAATATGAAAAAATAATCATAGCTAAGAGGTTAAAGTATAATTTATCCCACAAAAATTAGCAAATTCAATTATGTTCTGAAGCGACAAGGATTTCCAGTTTGAAAATATTTCAAAATAAAATGAATTCTCCACATTATGATAATTTCAAACGAAATATCCTTTTTTTCAATTTAGCCTTTCAACTATTGATTTTTTTTTACATCGTCCCTTCAACTAATTATTTCATTTTGCCAATTTGCAAACGTTTGTTATGTTTTTGGATGGAAATTATTAATGCGTTGGGGCAAAATAAAAAATATTATATAGTTCAGAGGGCAAAGTAAAATAACTATTCATTAAAATAAGTCATAGACGTTAATAATTGAGGCAATGTGATTAATTTCACATAGTTAAGGGTGTAAAATAAAAAATGATGAGTAATATTATTTAGACCTAAAAATTTGATCTAATTTATTGACACAATTATGTGGCTTCAATAAAGTCATTGGATCAACGCCAAATTTTAATATTTGATGGGCCCTACAATTAATTCAAAAATTTTAGTAAATTAGGTCAACAAATTAGATCAATAAATTAGATATCATTAGCATTGCTCAAAAATGATAGTTGAGGTCACACTTGGGGTAGTCAAAATGTAATTTGTCTTTTATTTATTTTTGAGGTCTTGGCGAAGTAGATAAAACGGTAGGCAAGTAACGGTCAAACTGGCGCCCACGCGGGAGAGCTTATCCATAGGCCATAGCGTACCTATCAACTTGTATCATCGCCACAACCAAAGGTTACAGGAAAGAGATAGAAAGAGAGTCAGTGAGAGAGAGAATGCGAAGCACAACGCTCTCTTCAGAGAGCGTGTTATTGAGGGCGACAAATCCACTGCCATTGTCTTATACATGTTCTAAGCCTTTCAAATTCTTCAACTTCAGAAGAAATTCACTTCTCTTTCATCGCACCCCAAGCCTCTTTCTCTCCAGGTAACTTCAATTTCGCTGCTGTAAATATCTCATTCCGCATATTTCTTTTTACTTTATCTTGTGATGTTTTGTTTCCCTGTCAAATTTTCCCAGTTTTGCTCAAAAATTAGCCAATTACTTATCACAATTTTGTGTATTAGCTCTTTGAATGTGTGTGTGTGAGTGAGAGAGAGGGAGAGATTAGCATTATTTTGTTGTGATTTAATGCACTTTAAAAATCACGCCCCATTATTTCGGGTTGGATCATAATCCGGATCAACACAAACTAAACTCCACAAAAAAAACCCAACATATTGGGGTACAGAAAGTTTTGTTTGTGCATTGTTACATAATGAGAGGGGAAATTAGGAGACAAATAATTTTTTAATTTCGTTTGTTCCGTTCAGGTATTCAGGATGGCAATGCATAAACAAAGATGATGGGCGGTTCAGGCACTCTTCATGTAGTGATTGTCCTAATTTGCATGATCAAGTACGTTTTTCCCTTACTATATGCACTTTTATTTGTTTGTTTAGATATTTATTTTTCCCTAAATGCATTATATTTGTTAGAGCCGGCGATAACTTTATTTTTCTTGATACATTGTACATTGATCAAAAAAATTTGTAAAATCATTTAGTCATCTTGTGGCTTAGACTGGATATGCAGTGCTTTGCTTATGATTTTTCCTTTTTCGAAAGGAATGTTCAGTTGTCCTTTAACAAGCTAAGCACAATAAGGCATGACTCACATCTACATTTTATGTTTGTACTCGTACTGCAGCCTCTAGATGCGTTTATAACATGTCATATTGAGCTAGTTTCTTCCCATGGTATTTAGATGCATGTTCTTCCGATGCCAATCTCCTTCTACCAGACAATCATTTCTATATCATCGAGAAACTCTCCACATTGTAAAGTATTTGCCTATTTGGCAGCATAATATCTCATAATGTTTTAACAGGTCCTGTTTGGTGATTTATGAAACCTAGCTTTCTAGGTATTGAAATGTTGGACTTTTATGCAGGAGCTCATGTTCCTTAATTGCAACAGTGGCAAAGCTGTAAAAGTGGTGTACAATATGAACGACTGTAGTACATCAGACAAATCCAGTGCAAAGGATTATTCAAGAAGGAAAAATCACATACCTGCGGATGTCCCAGTTTTAGATACGCCATTCTTTTCTTATCTAAAGTTTGCACTGTTCTGTGGGTTTTTTACTCTTCAAGGCACTCAGCAGGCAGTTGCTAGTTCAGATTTTGCTAGTGGATTTCAGTCGATTTCCTTTCTAGAGGACCTTGGCGATTTTAGCACAGGTTTTGCTTCAGTTAGGAGAATCTCCCGGTATCTTTAATTTTTAGAATTCTTGTCATTGCTTTTTCTTAACACAGAGTATGTTGGTATCTTTTCAGGGTGTTCATGTCTACATTGCAATGTTCGTAGTTAACATGAATTGATTATAATGGGGACATAAATTTAAAAAAACTAAGGTGATTGAGTGATTAGGCAAAAGTTAAGTGGAGAAAACAAGCCAGTCACAACATAATATCCATCTTTCGACATTCTATGAGAGCTCTTTGGAGACATTTTATAAATTTTGCTGGTCAAACTCATACTGATTGTTCTGTACCATGCTTGGAGTCATCTTTCAACTTTCTATGTGAGCTCTTTGGAGACATTTTATATGTAGAAATGCTTATATCTGATGTGCAATGCCTGGCCCAAAATTGATGATTTCTTTTCTTAATTTTTTTTTTTTTTACCTAAGTCACATTCACACAGGCAAGTAAACATTCGCTGACTAATATCATGGGTGCAATTCTTTTTTTGCAGGCATTCTTGCTGATATTTTTCTCTGAACTAGGGGACAAAACCTTTTTTATTGCGGTGAGAGAAAACCTGTTAAATATTGGCAGCTTTGTTGAGATTCTCTCCATAAGTTTCTTCCACTTTCTAGGGTTATTGGATGAACATGCATGTGTATATGTACATCATGATATATAGTTTGTCTGCTACTCACCCTATATCTAACCAAGTTAGCTCAAGGAGATATATGAGCTAACTTCTAAACTTAGTTTTTTCTTCTTCATTATAATGTGTTTTTCATAGGCAATCTGTGGCATACTTAACCATTCTACTTCATCAGTGGCTCAGCTCTATATTCTGAACTGAACTTTGGATGCTTAATGTCTTGAGCAGGCACTTTTAGCAGCCAGGAACTCTGCTGCTGTCGTTTTCATTGGGACTTTTGGCGCACTTGGGTTTGTGGTTTTGCTTATGAATGTTGATTTTGATGGCCTCTTGTATTTGAAGTCTTCTCTTAATAATGTCACAACAGTTATCTTGCATGTATGCATTTTTAACTGTAAGCTACTTTTTGAATTACTGCACTGTTATTCTAATAGAATATTAGAAGGCAAATTTTCTGTGCCTTGGAAAAAGAAAAAACTACTATAAAACTTGTGATACTAGTGTCAACGTGGGCTCCTTTATGGGTCTGCTTATGATGCCCACCAAGGCGATAGTAATGTGTAGTTGTTTTAGTTTCTATTTTTCTTTTTAGTGCTTGTAGTGCATATGAATCGTGTAACTCTTTCTTTCTTAACGGTTATATTCTCACTATGCATATTATTCCTTATGAAATCAATGCACTTAAAAATATCAAAGGGACAACTCACGAAAGCTATATTATATCTTGAAGGATTAGTGATTGTGCCTCGTAAAACGCGTATATTTTGTGTGCTACTCTTAAAATAAATGGATTGGGTTCTATTTGGTTTTAACTCTTGTGACTTTCTGATTCCTTACAAGGAAATGTTCTCTTTCCTTTGAAGGATTATATATTTCACTGGACTCATAGATGCATCTATGTTTCATTTGCAGGGTAATGACGACAATATCTGTTGTTATTGGTCGTACTTTTCACTATGTTGACGATATCCTTCCATTCAGGTTTTACAACCCTTGAGCTTTTCATGTTATACCAGGAATTTGTGTTGGATCTTTTGTTGGGAAATTAATTGGGCATGCTTCATTGATGACTGGGTATCAATCTCAGTTGACATTAATAAAAATGGATACACAATATCCCTAATCTTGCCACATATATTTGAAATTATCACTTTTGATGTCATGCTCTTGCAAACTTGGAACCCATCATTTTTATGACAGGCAACTTCTTTAATGTGACCATTGGATGATGTGTCCAATTA